CCTGCATCTTTGGAGATGATGTTGCTGGCTTGGTTGGTAGCCAATCTGCTTCGGTCCCGTTTTGCAAGCCTTTCCTGGACAATGATGAAGCTCCCGGACCCCTTGGATGGTCTACGGGCAACCAGGGATCCATTCATTCTTTTTGCCTCGCTATTTTATTCTCTGAGTCCAGGATTCGTCAGGCTTGGGAGCACTTTTGGTGGAGTTTGCTCTTCCTGCTTCACTTTCTGTTTTGTGGCTGGTTCTTAATTGATGTAGCTTTTCATTTTTCAGCAGCAAAGGTTGATAGTTTTGTTTTCCTTTCTGTTGTTATGCATCAATTAAGCTGATAGGTTTTTGGTTGATGGTTACCATTTTGTTGTGGTAACAATCAACTTCATTTTTGTAATCTTTTTGGTATTAATGCTATGGGCTTTGGCCCCTAATTTTCCCAAAAAAAAAAAAAAAAAAATCTAAATATTAATTAATTGCATTATACTCCTAATTAAACTAAGCTAATTAATTCTGAGTACGTAGACAGTAAACTTCTCTGCCAATGCCTGCACGATACACTTCTTGTCTTCCTGTAGTCGTAGGCCTGTCTAGGGTTTGCTTTTCCTCTTCGCGATCTCCTCGTCGTTGTTCGACTGTGGCTGCTTCGCGTTAGGCCGAGTTTTAAAAGAGTCGCTGATTCCTGAAATAAAGGACGCTTCTGCGCCTCATTAGACGACGTTCTTCCTGTCGGATCGGAAGTCACGACGGGAAGGATTTAGGGAGAAAAGGTGGAAAACGACGTTAACTCGGGATTTAGCCTTGAGATTTGAGGAGGTATTTTTTTACGTTCGGCAAGATTTAACTCGAATCCAGCTTAAATTCTGTATCCTAAAGGGTTTCTGCATCATTTTGCGCGAAACCAATTTCTGTTCCTCATCTACAATGGATTCCTTGTTAGCGAACTATGCTTCCTCTGACGACGATGGAGAAGCTGAAGAAGTTTCTCGTGCTATTCCTCATCCCAAGATTTCCTCTTTCTCTAACTCTCTCCCTCCCCCCAAATCCTCTTCGTTCTTCTCCTCCCTTCCTCCTCCCCGAATCTCTAACTCATCTTCTCCTTCTTCCTCTTCCTCTCTGTTCGCTTCTCTTCCCCCACCCAAATCGCAGTTGCCTAACCACTCTTTGAATGATTATAAAAGAGAGGTTGATGGAGGGAAGCCCCCGAATCAACCGCAGTCTTCCTCTATCTTCTCCTCTCTTCCGCCACCCAAAACCTCCACTTCTTCCACTTTCTCTTCCCTCCCCGCTCCCAAATCTCTATCCGGAAATCCCTCTAACAAACCATCTTCGGACTTTAAAAGAGTCGTTCACTTTACACTGCCATTGAATCCTTCCATGCTAAAATCCCTCGATCCTGATGACGATGATGAGGAGGAAAAGGGAAGAAAGGTCAGAAAGGATACTTCGTCTTCATCCACCCCGAAGGCACTCTCTTCCATGCTTCCTGCACCTAAAAACTCACTATGTATAGCTCCGGCTCAATCCTTCGGTGCGTCGAGGAAATCTAGCTTGCAAACGGATGATCCTGCGTCGAGGAGATCTAGCTTGCAAACGGATGATCCTTCTGCAAATTGTCCACAAGGATCGAAAACAGAGCATGAGGTAGGCAGTTTTGCTAGCTATTCTGAGTATGGTGCAGAGCAAGGCATGGCTGTTGGTTATGAGGCTTGTGCGAGTTTTAGTGCAGAACAGGGGGTTAGTGATTATGAGAATTTCAAGAATGATGATGGAAATTGGTCCAGCGGAGTAGTAAATCCTGCGGCCGTTAGTTCGGCGGATGCTACTTATGCAAGTATTCCTGCAACAGTTGGGTGGGAGCAGGATAATGGGGACAGTTCTGGTCACAGAAGTTACATGGATAGCTGGTCCAATGCTTCTAGTGGAGCAACAACATCGGAGATTCCCGATATTGGGAGAATCGCAGGTAAGAGAGGAAGAACAGCTATTCCTACAGAGATTGTGGAGGTGAAGCAGGATGAGTTGATGAAGAACAGACCGAGAGAGGATCAGATTAAATCCACAGGAATAGCTTTTGGGCCGGCCTATCAGGTTTGAATTTACTCACTCTTTAATGATTTTTCTCTTGTTTTGTGCATGCATTACTCATAAAGATAATATTACTTCTGTATTCAAGTTTTTGAATTTCTAATATTCTAATGTGTTGCTTTTAAATATGACTTGTTAATGCTTGTGGAATACAATGATATATGTTGGAAATTGAAGGATGACTATGATAGCATAAATTATAGGTTGGTGTCCATTTTTATAGCTTTGTTGATATGTCATTTCACCATTTACTCTTGAAGAGGAAATTTTATCTAGTATTCCCAGTTTTTCTCATTTTATGGTTTCCTCGTCCCAAGCGGCCTTTAGGAGTGATTTGGAGAACTCTCACATGTAAAGTGTGTTCAAGTTATTTGAAGTAGCTTTTGAGAAGTTTTTTCTTCTTCATGCATAGTCCCCTATGGTCCATTGTGTCATTCTATTGTAATATTTGATGTCTTTCCTCTGCTCTTATTTTTGTGAGAATGCCTTCTAAAATTGACCTAGCCAAGCTCGGCACATCTACATTTTCTACATAAATAGGTCATAGTTATTTTTATGTTAAGGTTTCTATTTCTACCTTAAAAATATGTGGCTTTTTGTCTTTTTTAAGCGTGCATAAATGATTTTTTTAATCAAATTATTCACTGAAATCATTTTGCTTTGAAATGCAAATGGAAGTGAAAATAGCTCTTTAATTTATGGTGTTGCATCTAATTTTATGCTTTGCATGGATATTCGACTTTTACCTTACAAAAAAGCCTCCTACTCTGAATGGAATATGACTTGCAAATTGAATGCCACAATATGTCATTGTGCCTATTTATTTAAAAACAGGAGATTTAAGTTTATTATATCAAATTGTTCTTTATTTACTAAACTAACAATATGTTTTTAAAATGAATTGCCAAGTCTATGTATTTGCGTGTTATGCAACCAAATCATTAGGAATTTAACTAAACATTGGTAATGAAAGCTAGTAGTTTTGTTGTGCACTTCAAGCTTTAGGTGGTATTATTGTAAGTAGAAGCACTTAGATGTTATTTTGTAAATATGTAAGGTTTTGATGTTGCATTGGAAATTACCCTTATAAATATCAATTTGTTGATTTCAACCATCAAGGATCCTCAAGGATGGAACTAGTTGGCAAAGTAATATGGAGTTAACTTTGTTCATTTATGACTATCCAAGGATTCATGGGAACTTTGTTATTTGCTTTTTATTTATTGTAGTTGTTACCTAATCATTATCCATAGGCTCATGGATGTTTTAGTTCATTGTTTAAAATTGCGCAATATGAGGCTCGCCTTGAGGCCCGCCTCAGTGCAATTCCAGTGAAGAACACATCGAGGCTTCTGCCTCAAACTTTTTTTACGAGGCTAGCGCCTCAACTTGACTGAGGCCCGCCTTGAGGCACACCATTCCTCACTAGCGGGAGGCTTACGCCTCACCCAATTTATATATATTTTTATTAAAACTTATCTGAAACCTAAACTAAATTCCCGAACAAATCACGTTTTAATGCACCCTCAAGCTGCAACAACTTCCTCTTTATTGCCTTGACCTCCAACCCTTCGTTTTCTCCATACACACCACCGTCGTAGCCGCTACCGGGGATCACTTGAAACCCGTACACCATCACCACCACCTCTAAAATTTTTAGAGTATTAATCTCATCTTTATGTTAATGAAAAACATTTATAAATAAGAAGATGACTGAAATAAATAAAAAGAAGCAAATTGGGAGGCATTGGACTCCATAGAATGAGATAAGGGAGAGACTAATTTATTATGATGACGACTCAAATAAAAACCTCCTCAGTGATGATAGTGCAGATGATTTCTAAGTTTTTGTAAACTATTTTAGTTTCTTTTAAGAATTTTATGTGGGTGAGTCGGAAACTGATAAATAAGAAATTTGGAGTTAAATTTGATATTATATAATACTTTTATGCCATTCCTATGTTTAATATTATTTTGCTCTTATAATATTTGTACTTCAATTCTATTTCACGCAATTTATCACTTGCAACTTTATCTCTTGTGCAATTTTTTATTTTATATGTATGTCAATTTGTTATTTCATAATTTAATAGAAAATTAACACGTCATCCTTTAACATATTATTTGAGTATTATATAAAAAATTACTTCTATAATTTATTTTGACTTAACACAATTTTTTGATTTTGTGGCTTAAGCATCAAAACGCCTTGAGGCTTACACCTCGCCTCATGAACAATAAACACCTCAATACCTAATTGCACAATTTTAAACTTTGCTTTTGTTTGTTGATTGTGATGAATTTGACTACCCCTCTCTTTAAGTCCGGTTCTCAAACGCCCCATGCTTGCCCGTCTTCCTCTGCTCTCCCTGTTTTGAACCTATGTGTTTTAATGTAATACGATCAGACCATTAAGAATTTAATAAAATATGGGCAATGAAAGTTAGCAGGTTTGTTTTGCTCTTCAAGATTCTGGTGGTATTATTGTAAATAGAATCACTTGGGTGTTATTTGATGTTGCGTAGCAAATTTTCTCTTGATGGATACATATATAGCAAATTTTCTCAAGGCTAGAACTAGCCAACACAGTTATGGCACCTAGCTTATGGAGTCACCATTTTTTATTTATGACTATCCAAGGAGTAGGGGGAGATTTGATTAATTATTTTTATTTGTTTTTGTCACAATTCTAGTTCTTACCTATGCCTTTCCATAGGGTTATGGATGCTTTTGTTTGTTAAATATAATGGATTCGTCTGCTCTCCCCTGTACTTCTACTACCCTGCCTTCTCACGTTCATCTCTCCGTCTCTCTTCCATATCATGATTTTAGTTCGTTCGCTTTCTCTTCTTCTACTCCAGATGCTTTTGTTTGTTAATTATGATGGATTTGACTGCTCTCCCCTGTACTTCTACTGCCCTGCCTTCTCACGTTCATCTCTCCCTCTCTCTTCCTTCACATGATCTTAGTTTGTTCACTTTCTGTTCTTCTACTCCAGAAGTTTTCCTTTCTATTGCCTTTCCCTTCTGTGACTCTTGGCTGCATTCTTTCTTTCCAAGTAATCTAATTCCAGTACTGCACCTCTTGATGCCCTGATTTCACATCTGGGTCCTCTTCTCGGCTTCCTCTTGGACGTCTCAACAATGCTTTTGTGTTCTCCATTAAAATTAGCTAATTAAACCATATTTCCCCTCACTTCAATTTACAAATCAGAGCAACTTTGGAATACAACTGAGAATCATAGGAAGATCATTAGAACTCCCCATCAAGATTTCCATCAGCTTCTCCTTTTTGAGTATTAAGAGTAAGCGTATAGTATAATGGGAAAACCTGAAAAATAGAACACGAGTTACTAAAAAATTGCCTTTTTTTTTATCCCTTTGCTCTCAATTTGTATCGAAAAGCCTCATCAAAACTGCTTGCTAGCATCCTGATCTCTACAAGCTTCATTTGTGCACGTCCTCCCTAAGCTTCAACTCCTTTCCTCTTTTCTGCATTAATAAATGCATCGATATTCTCGTCAACCCGTCAACCCTTCCTCTATCTTAACTTAAAAATTAATACTCCTACAACCTTCTTCCTTCACAAAACCCTCAATCACAACATTTAAAATTTCAAATCCTTCTTATTCAAACCTAATCCTCTTAAAAAGCCTAGCTGGATCCAATTGAGCCCCTCTTCTTCCTTAAAGCAAAGCCATTAAAATTTCTAAGCATGCCCTCCATTTGGATACATCACTTTACGTTAGCTTGGTTTTAGAACTGAAAATACTTAAAAGTTTTAATAAAACACTCCATTTTGCAGAATCACTTTACATCATTTATCTACAGCCACAGCTGTGCGGGTCCGAATTAGGTTTTAGAGTTGTTGACTTCTGATCCAGCAATCTTTTAATGGCATATGACTTTGAGTCCTCGTAGTGTCCATGATATTCATTTCGTAATCTTCATTGAACTTGTTTATCCTTTTTCAGATGTATTAGATGTCATTCAATGGATTTGTAAATTTGCTTTTGTCTAGGAACATTTTTAAAATTCAAGTTGACGAGGTTTTGTTCTTCCATAGAATAGATTTATCTTATTTTAAATAAGAAAAAAGCAGGTTAAACTTATCTTGAAGCTATAATTTGAATATGTAAACGAGGCATTTTTAAAACCCAACATTATATAGCTTCTATTTATTTAATAATTATCAAGTATTGGTTTAGAGAAATTAACATTATATAGCTTCTATTGATTTAATAATTATCAGATAGCATGATAAGATAAATTGATACATAATTGTGATAGAGTTAAGTTTCTTGGATCTATTATATTGAAGAATCTGGATATCAATGAGAATATGTCCTTATAGTGGTTTGGGTGGGAAAAGCAGAGAAATGCTTCATGGATATTATATAGTTGGATAATATCAATCATATTAAAAATGAAAATTTTATAGATATGCAATTAGCTTAGTTATATTTTATGGATATGTGTTTGCCGGTTAATAATATATTTAATGCTGCATAACTAAGTTTGTTAAGATGTATATGTGGCAAAATAAAAAATTATAGATGATAAAATGACTACATTAAATTGGTGTGGGTGGCATGAGTAACATTTATTGATAAGATATAAAAAACTTAAATATTTGGGCATGTAAAATTATGGGCAAAAGCTGCACCAATAAGATGGATACATAAAATTAATGTTATGGATTACACGAAGAAAAAGGAAATTATAATATGGATAGAATTTGCGCAAAAAAACAAATCGTAAATGAGGTTTAACATATCATGCATCACTTAATAGGAATTAATGGAGAATTAGAATTCGTTAGTCTTTCCCAAATATTTGTGGGACGGGTAGACTACACTACATGTATGGACATGAATCACTTCCATTACCATACTCTCACCGCATACAACTTGCACAAAGACTCATTAATCTATCCTTTTCCACCTCCCCATTTTACTCAAGTTTCCCTAAAAGAAAATGGATGTGTTACAGCTTTTGTCATTA